CATCCAATTGAAAAATCAAAATTTGTATAAAATGCACATAAGCATCACGTAGGACTTGAAGGATTTTCAAGGATTTATGAGATGTATTTGTACAGCTGAAGGGCCATTAACTCGATTTGCGCCTTCGATACAGGGACTCGTTTTAGACATATACGGAATAACAGACAGAGGGTCGAATGGACTCTCAACTTTTCGTTCTGTTGAAGAGCTGAATGCTTACTTTATGGAGTCTGCCACGCCTACTAGTGCCTTTTGCCATGCATGCCTTTTACCTATGTGAAAGCCGCAAAAGGATATCAGTTTACCACTATACAAAATTGTAGATAACTCTTCAAAACTGCATTCCCTTTCATTCGCCCCTCTCTCTCTCTCTCTGACTTTCTCACTCTCTTTCTCTCTCTCTCTCTCTCTATCTCTCCTCTCCCTTCCTCTCTCCCTTCTGCTTCTGAATGCCCTTAATAAAGCACTCTGATGCACCTAGTCGTTGACTGCAATCAGGAGGACCGCAAAGCAAACTCATTTTGACGTGTTCATCGTGTGCGGGCTGTGGAGATGGCGAGCGGATAGCGAAAGCGTTGGAGCAGCGATTTATTGATCCATGCGATTGTTGATATTGATGTAAACATATTCATCATGCCGCACAGTGCTGTATCACTGGCTGGCAAACTCTATTGCGAATTGATTGCAGCGCATTATTTCACAATTTTGCCGGCAAATAAACAAAGTTGAATGGAGCAGGCCGGAACTGGCAGCCAGTCACGGAGGCAAGCGCATATTGCGAGCAGTGAGTGCTGCTTATCAGCTCAGTCAGCGCGACAAGTTGCACGATAAAAGCAACGACAAGGATGCTGCTGCTACTCCCGCTGCTGATGTCGAGATTGATGTGTGTAAAGTTTTTGGCAGCTTCGATAGCAGACTGGCTGGGCTAACAGTTCTCTTCGATTTACGAAATTGCAGTTGCATTTGGCTGGGATATGGGATGTAGAATATCTTATGTACTTACCGGAAGCCCCGGCCTGTATCCTGCCTGTATCACTAGCAACAATGTGTAGGGAGCAGAGAACCTTTGGTTAGACACGGGCATCCGTTGTTGAAGGCGCAGGATGTGTGGCTCAAGCTACTTGCCATACACACACACACACACACACACACACACACACACAGAGGGCCAGCCACATGCGTTCACGCAACTTTATGGCAATCATAAATTGCACTTGATTTTGGCTTTTCCGTAGCGCAATTTTTACGCAACACAATGCAGCTTCCGTTTGGCTTCGAGTCGTTCATATACGAGATATATGTATATATGTATTTGTAGGCGAAAGACGCTGAGCTGTGGAGCCTGCTGGGCCCGGGCCACCCACAGAAAGCAATTGGTATTAGCCGGGCTAGCGAGGCTCTTTGGGCGGGCGTCCAGTTGGGCAGGCCTTTTCTCGTTTTGGCAGCGGCGTTATGCATATTTATTAAAAACTGTCTGCTGCGATTAAAAGCCAATCAGGCCAATTGCGAATTCCTTTTATTGGCCCTATAAATATTTAAAATTTAATTTCGAGCACCACGGCGCGTATACTTGATGCCGCTGTGGCGGTTCGAATACATTTTTCTGCAGCTAGATTAAAATTTGTGTATGTGTGTGTGACTGTGTGTGTGTGTGTGTGCATTTCTGCATCTGCGGGTATGTGTGTGTGTGCGTGTCTGTGTGTTTGTTTGTGCGGCAGGTGCCTCGCGCCTCGCCTCGGCTTTGGCTCTGCCGTGCAATCGAAGCGTGAAACGTTGAAGCTCAGCAGACTCTCGCAAAAGGCAAACACGTTGAGCGCAAATGTAGCGCGTTTCCTTTTTGGCTTTTACGCTACACTCCCAGCCGGTACAAGGACCACAGCCCACAGCCCACAGTCCGCAGTCCGCAGTCCGCAGCCCACAGTCAGCCGCAGTGCCATCCCGTTGCCCAAAGCCCCAAATAGTACCACTTATGTGTGTATGTGTGTGTGTGTGTGTGTGTGTTTGTGTGGGTGGCAGTTAGCTAGCGCTTGACAGCTTGGCAAACAGTTAAATAAAGTTGGCAGCTTTCCCGCTTGTGGTCGGGCCCCACTGTTATCCTAGCCCGGACAGCAGCAGCCACCACACATACGGAGTATGAGTAGTTAATACCGAATGTTGAGCATTTCGCCCCTCGCCCCTCGCACTTTACCAATATCTAATTGAGGCTTCATTTTAATCTAGTCGCTCTCGATTGCAGCGCATTGGCAAGTCTCGCTAACCGAACATCACATCACATAAGTACATCATCGTTGCGCTTCTCTGGCCAGGTCAGAATAATTAGTTTTCCAAGTCAATTTGATTTTCTGCTTCGAATCACAAGCTTAACTCAAATGCAATTTCAAACGTGTAAACAAGCCTGGCCGCTGCCAATTTTGCCAATCTATCAACAACATGCGATATGTCAACACGAATTTTCAAATTTATTACAGCTCGAAAGGGACAATTTTTTCACTAAAACATGCTTTACTTTCTAGCTATTTGATACTCGGTTTGTGATATTTTATAAATTTTATTTTTTCTCCATTTTCTATTTCAATTTAAGAACAAGAAAGGCAGCTGAATTCATATTGCAAAATGATTTTGCAATTTTATATACATATGTACATATATATTTTAAAAGGTTTTCCTTTGTAGCTACATCCATGAATTTTAAGAGTCAATGAAACAAATGCACGAAGAAAACTTTGTTGGTTCTTACATTTTTATTGATAAAAACTATTAGTCTGTTGAATTTGTATTCCTTAGCCAAAGAGCACACATGTAATGCAGTCTAATCGGTAATTCGGGAACGCAAAGGTTACACACACAGGAGATTTTTAGCAGGAGGGGCCACAGCTGCTGCAGCAGCCGCCACAAGGCCCGACAGCACAGCCGCCGCAGCAGCCGAAGCAGGGGCCTGTGGCATAGCAGGGTCCGCACACATTAGGTCCAAAGCAGCCTCCGCAGCAGGGAGCACAGCAGCCACCGCAAGGTCCGCAACACATGATTGATCTCTAAGAAAAAGCACATAAAAAATAAGAAGAAAAAAGTTAAAAGAAAAATTAAATTTTTTTTTTTTAATTTGCTAAATAAATTCCTTACTTAAAAACCAAAAGAAACAAATCAAGACTACAAAAGAATTTAGATGTTGATGCTTTGGAATATTTTGTAAGAATGAGGCTGTATGGAAAGCAACAAATACAGCCGGAGCTGGAGTGACAATGATGTCTGAGGCAACTAGAATAGAAATATAAAAATGATGTGCCATAATAAAGTGGAATATGAGAGCAGCTGATTAACACGATTTATTGCCACACACACATACGTACATACGTTGTGTCTGTACTTTTTGCTGCATTTTTCATTTTGTCATTTAATTGGTAGTAAAATTTAGAGTCCCATTGCAATTTCATGGCACACAATGGCCCGCTAATGAATATGAATAACAAGAAACTCGAATGTGCCAACACGCACGCGACGCGGCCAAAGTTGACAACAGCAGCAACAAAGCGGCCAAACAAATAAACAAACAGTAGTCAGCTGATTGTGCGCCAAGACAAACAGACAGAGAGACGGGGAGACAGACAGTCAGACAGTCAGACAGTCAGACAGTCAGTGGAACAGGGAACAAACTACTTACTTACTTACGAGGACTTTAGCCACTTATGTGGGGCAAAGGCAAACAAAGTTATGCGGCAAGTTGTGCCATTTGTTGTTGTTGTTGTTGTTGTTATTGTTCGCGCTATGCAACTGTCTTTTCACATAATGTCTCTGGGTTGTTAAAGTTGCCTTTACTCTATACTCTTTGCCATCTCTCTCATTCGCTCACTCACTCTCTATCTCGCTCGCCACGAAGTGAACGCAAAACTCACATAAATTACGCGCCAGCAAAAGTCACAAAATGTCAAATGCAGCAAACACCAAAAAAAAAAAAAAGAAAAACCAAAACGAGAAAAAAAAAGAAACCGAAT